CGGGCAGGTCCGGAGGGTCCCGAAGGCGCGGCCCGTGGGCTTCTGTCCCCGATCCGTTGCGGTGGGAACCGTATCATGTTCACATCCTCCCCACATCATCCCCACATCATCCCCACATGATCCCCGTAACCCTGCCGTTAATTCCATCAAGCACTGAAACCCGCCGTGTGGTGTCACTCGGAGAGGCGTTCGGAGGAAAATCTTTGCATTTCTGATGGTTACAATTCCTAAAGCAATCAGGGAAAAAGGCTGGTTTAAAATAACTGGCTCTTTAATATTCTGCGGACCCTAGCGAGTGTTTATTTTACTGTCATCGTCTTGGTGGTTGTTTCCTGCTCGGTGGTTGTAGCTGTTTGAATCATCTTTGAGCAGCTTTGGTTTCAGATGTGTAATTGCAAAGCTTCGGTGGAAGGCAAAGAGCAGCTGGCATCCTGTGTTGATTTGTGCTTTCCCTGTTTGCAGGCTGAGGTGGAAGAAACACTGAAGCGAATTCAGAGCCAAAAAGGGGTGCAAGGAATCATTGTTGTTAATTCTGAAGGTACGGTGGCAGTCTGGGGTTTCAGACACGGCTTATTCTAAGCATGCACTTTGAGGACTGCTGATTCTACTGCTGCTTACATTTCTATTGCAGTCTGTCCTTAGCTAAGGTTTTCCTGTAGCCAAAGCAGATGGACAACAGTTGGGCTACAAGAGAAGAATGGATTCCCTTTTCCGCAAGCTCACTTTATTATTTTAGGAAATAAGTTAAAATAAATGGCAAAAGCTCAGAAATACTTAGTTATGCCAGTGTTTGACGCTGTGTTCTGTCAGAGCCTTCATCTGTAGCACTAAAAGCTCTCGTGATAGCCGAAATGTTGCTTCTGTGCATGTCCAGGACGCTGCTGTCTGGGCAGACTGGAGCAGCTCTCGTGCTGGTGGCCTCACAGGACTCACAAGCTCTTTCTGTCTCTTTTTGGAGCCACTGAAGGGTCCAACCGAGCAGAATGTCAGAGCTCTCTAAATACACTGTGAGCAGCCCAGCTTAAAACTGTGTGATTATCAACTTAAATTGAATGTTTCCTAGGAATAGTCCTTAGAAAATACGACAGATAGTGACCATACAGAACATATTGCAGATCAGATCATTGCATACTTGTATGCAGCTCGTGTTCCTGCTCTCTGCTTTTCATGGTGGTGAATAATGGGCTGTGCTCTCCAGGCTGAAACTGCACTTATTTGAGCAGACACCTGCAGCAGGTTTTTGGCCATGCCAGTATTTGGTAGTTTCAGCTGCTGCGTTGTTCTGACACACCTGGAATTTTGGCTGGCTTCGTGTGGGAAAATGTATCCCATGGGTGGCAGAGACATGAGGGAGGGAAAGCTCTGGCCAAACAGTGTCTGTCCTGTTGGCTGGTGCACAGGAATTGAACTGGGGACCTCGCAGGACTGTATCAGCCCTTACAGTTCAACCTTGGAGCCTCAGCTCTGCAACTGAGCGATGCAGCAGCTGATGTCCTCTAGAATCAACTTAGATATCATTTAACTGTGGCGTTCAGGAGCCTTTCAGAAAGGAAAAGCTGTCCCCAGTCAGGAGAACAAAACTGAAACATCGGTGTTTCCTCTCTCTGCCCCAGATATTTCTTTTTGTTATTATTTATTGATGTATCTTATAAATAAACAAAGAAATGTAGAAGCAAAAGTAAAGCAGTGAGGAGGTAAACAGCTCTCAGCTACGCCTGTGGTTCCAGATCTTTGCCTTTCCACATCTTATTTGTGTTTGTGTGCTTCTGGTGGTTGGACTCGATGATTTTAAAGGTCTTTTCCAACCAAAACCATTCTATGATACTTTTAAGCCTTTAAAAAGAACATTCCTCATCCCTGATGATGACATTGGCGTAGGTTAAATAGCCACCCTGGTTGGACCTGATGATGCCCAAGGCAGAACTGGTTCAGGGGTTTTCTCACTGACCCTCGCTGTCCCCGGTTTCTCGCAGGTATTCCCATCAAAAGCACCATGGACAATTCCACAACGATTCAGTACGCGGGGCTCATGCACAGCTTCATCATGAAGGCGAGGAGCACGGTCCGAGACATCGATCCCCAGAACGACCTCACGTTCCTGCGGATCCGCTCCAAGAAAAACGAAATCATGGTCGCACCAGGTAAAAACAAGCGGGGGGAAAGCAGGCAGTGGGGAATCCAGCAGAATTCTTTTCTCGTGAGAAGCTGTCAGCTTGAGAGAAAAGCTCTGCCTGCTGCTTTTATTCATATTGGATAATCTCTTCTAAGAATCCCAGCATGTGGGGAGTTGGAAGGGACCTGGAAAGCTCCCCCAGTGCAACCCCTGCCACAGCAGGATCACCAGAGCAGTCACACAGGAACACGGCCAGGGCTTTGGGTGTCTCCACACAAGGAGACTCCACAACCTCTCTGGGCAGCCTGGGCCATGCTCCATAACCCTCACACTCACAAACTTTGCCCTCATCTTCAGCTTGAACCTCCTGTGCTCCAGCTTGGGACCATTGCCCCTTGTCCTGGCATTGGCCATCCCAGAGCAGAGCCTGGCTCCTTCCTCCTGACACTGCCCTTTCCAAATTGATAAACATTAAAGAAGCTGGTTTGCTTTCTATGGAGTTGAAAGCTTTTAACATTGACTTAAATTTGTTTTTTCATGTTTCAATTTGGCAAATCACTTCCTCAATTCATGCTGATGAAAGTAGAAAGAGTTAAATAGCGGAGCACGTGTTGCAGCCTCTCATGCTTTGAGTTTTTCGGTATAAAACCTCAAGAGTTGGAAAGTCAGTCTGATTTTCATATGAAGGATGAAAAGAGAGGTGTGAGCCCTGCTCCAGGAAAAATGCAGCTACAGCCACTGCAGCCCAGCACTCTGCCAGTGAGATAAGGGAAATCAGTGTCTTGCACCACGTATTTGGATGCCATCATCGCACGTGCCAGTTACTGTTCTTTCCTAGGCACAAACCGAGTTAAATTCAATTGTTTTGGGAGCATGCAGTTTCTAAAGATTAGACCTTTTTTTCATAAAAATCAGTGATCTGATGTGCCAGACCTGTTTGGCTTCTTGTGAACGAATGTCAGGACTCCCCAGCTCCCACGGTGTACCAGTGAGATATGGAAACTGTTGAAATGTGCTGTTGCTGGGAACAAACACCGGTAATGAAAGAATCACTTTCTTTTTCTCTGCAGATAAAGACTACTTCCTGATTGTCATCCAGAATCCAACCGAATGATTACACTGACTCGCTCTGTTGGGTTTTTTTTCCCCTTTGCCCAACTGGTTGGTTTTTTTTAATTTAATGTTGAAGAATAGAGCGTTAGTGTTAACTCTGCTGTGCCACTTCGATGTCTGAATAAACAAAAGCAGGTTTTTTTGGTTAACAAACACCAAAAAGTGGCTCTTTTTTTTTGGTTTTTTTTTTTGTATCACAAGTCGTTTTGAGGAGGAGTTGGTGAATTGGAATCGGGCAGTAAAAAACCGCAGCAGATCTTTTAGTAGTTCAGAAGATAATATAATAAAATTCTAATAATGTTCTAAAATAAGTAATTACCCTGTGTATGTTTCCATGCTTCTGTCTCCGCAGTTTGAGATGCGCTTTTACACTGGTCCTTTCGAATGACTGTAAATATGAAACTTGCCTGTCCTCTGGTTCTGTTTCTGTTGGTTTTACACGTTAAGTCTGGCCATAATCAAATTAAAAGTGTCCTCACTTGACTCTTTCTGTCTTACGTGTTTTCCTTCTGAAGATTTTAATAATTCTCATGATCGATTAAGTTTTTCTTCAGAAAATCAAACCTTCCTAGGACTACTTTCACTCAGCTGTTGCTTTGGAGGTGCTGACCTGTTTATGTCTTTGGCTCTCCCTAGTAGGTGGCAGTGTTACTCTTCTGAGCAGTGTCCTGCGTTTCCCTGATGACAGCAGCCCTACCAGTGCTTTTGTGTCGTATCTGAGTCTGGGACAGAGAGTGCTGAGGTGTTTTGTTGTTTGTTTAAAAAAGAACAACCAAGCTGTAATAAATAACCCTATTGCAAAACAAAGATCATGGCTGTTTTCTGCAGTGTGTGGAGGTCATAAACTTGCAGTGAAATGCCTGGGGGGTTCCTGCTCTATTGATTGATTGGGGGGTTGGAGGTTTGTTCAGAGGTGGATTTTTTTGGGTGTTTTTCCCCAAGGACTGGTAGCAGTCTGACTTGAAATACACTCAGGAATTTGAATAAAGGGGTCTTAAAGAGGCTGGTTTTGGAGTCTGGAGGAGTTTGTCAAGTTCTGGGCAGGGCAGGGCCTTGCTTACGCCACTTTAGTGCTACCTTTACACTAGCATTCAAAGTTATTTTTATTTAAAAAAAGGGGGAAGGGGTGGATGAAGCTGAAGAACATCATCAGTTTAGATATTTAGTATGGAGAAACAGCATCTTGCTTGGATCAGAAGCATCAGAGAGTCACAGAGATCTGACCAGGTACAATTCCTCTGTATGCAAGTTAGGGGAGGATTTCACTTCCTAAATTATCTTAAAGGTGGCCAAGAAAGAGATGGGATGAAGTTCTTCTTGTTCGGTGTTTGCTGAGTCTGGGCCTGGTCACTTGCATGGTAAAACTACTGCCAGATTGAGGAAGAACAGAAAAATAAGCACAATGGTTCTAGGCCTTTTTTATAGCCAGAAAGCATGGTGGGGTGGTTTGAAGGAGGACTCCAATAACCTTTACGATCTGTGCTTTAGTGCCATTTTGTGCTGTGGTTGGAGGCTGCCCTAATTTGCTGTCTTGGATAAACCAGTTTTGATGGCTCCATCTCTGAAGGCAGAGTGAGCATCTGCTGCTGAGATGTGGTAAATAAACCCTAACGCACTCACAATAAAAGGGAGTTTGAGGTATGGCTCCGGGCTGTGAACAGCACTTGAGGCCCAAGGACGTGCTCTCCTGTGCTGAGTGCTGGGAGATAAGGCTCTGGCAGAGGACTGGAGGTGAGAACATACCAATACTGCAAAAGCTGGGCTTGTAGCAACTCCTTTTCTCTGGATGTTAGAGCTTGGGTTTGCTCCAGCGCCCTCCCAAGCGATTCCTCGGCTGCCTGAGATGGCTGAGCTCTGTTTGTGCAGCGCTCCTCTTCACATACGGGACATTCATGTTTGATCTGAACACTTCTGTTACGTATAGCTGCATCTGCAGGGGCTGAAATCTGGCATAGATACACCAGTATAGGCTGGGC